CCCAGTCATCCTTCTTTCACCTTGTCAGAAAATTTCGTTTACTGCCTAAAGAAAAAGTAGAGTTGGGGAGATGTGGAAATTTGAGAACAGGGTTACTTACTCATTAAAAAACAACTTTGTACCAAGCTGTTTTTTTAGTTTTGTGTTCAGCTCTTCCCAATTCTAGATTTATTTATTGTGGATATATAATATAAAGGGCACAGTATAATTGTGTAACTTTGTGTCTGTGCTTTTTGCTTACAATGTTTTCAAGTTTCATTCAAGATATAGCAGCAATTTTTTTATTTTTATTTTTTATTTATTTATTTTTGTCTGTTTTTCAAGACAAGGTTTCTCTGTGTAGCCCTGGCTGTCTTGGAACTCACTCTGTAGACCAGACTGGCCTCTTTTGAACTCAGAGATCAGCCTGTCTCTGCCTCCTGAGTGCTGTATCTAAAGGCATGCACCTTCACCCAGTTTAGCTTTCTTTCTTCCTTTCTTTTAAGATTTATTTATTCATGTGTTTTATGTATATATGAGTGCTCTTTTTGCATGTATGCCTGTATGTCAGAAGAGGGTATCAGATAGAAGAGGGCATCAGACCTCGTTATAAACAGTTGTGAGCCACTATGTGGTTGCTGGGAATTGAACCCAAGTCCTCTGGAAGAGCAGCTGTTGCTCTTAACCACTGAGCCATCTCTCTAGCCTGAATTTCTTTTCTTAATGAGAAAGACTCTTACTACTTACTATGTTGCTTCAGTTGGATTGCAGTTGTGTAACACCACAATAAGTTTTATTTGTTCCTCATTACTATATTTCATTGACTATACCACATTTTGGTTATCCATTAACCTATTGAGAATTATCTGATTATTTTTCACCCTTTGGCCATTTTAAATAATAGTTACAAACAAATGTGTGCAAGTTCTTATATAGACATATGTTCATTCTCATGAATATATAACTGGGAAGAATTGTTAATCCATAGTAATTCTTTTTATTTTTACTTTTTGAGATTGTAGTCCAGACTGTTCTTGAATTCACTGTGTAGCTCAGGCTGAACTTGAACTTGTGCCAATCCTACTGCCTTAGCCTCTTGATTACTAGAATTTCACATATGAGCCAATGAGCCTTTCTAAAAATTTGGAAGCAGGGCTGTATTGAGGAATCTAGGATTCTTAATCTTCCTGACACTACCTACCAGTGCTGTGGTTATTAGCCTGTACTGCCAGGTTGATCTTGCTTACTGATTAACTGATTGATTGATTGTTGTTGTTATTTTTTGTTTTGAGATAGTCTTGCTATGTGTCCCTCAGCCATCCAACTGCTGGGATTACTGGGACTTGCCACGGGGCAGAGACAACAGGATCACTGTAAATTCAACCCAAGACTGGTATACATAGAGTTGTAGGTCAGCTTTGTGTACATGGCAGTTTACAGACTTGTCAGGGTTGAATGGTGAGGCACTCCCTCACACTTCTCTATCTCAAAAACAAAACAAAAAGGCCTGGGTGTATACCTTGGTCTAGAATGTTTGCCCAGTATTTGTAAAGCCCTAGATTCAGTCCTGAGTACCATAAAACAACAGCAAAACTGTACTACTGTGTCCCAAGAAGCAGTGTGACATCCATTTAGGTGTATTGTCAAAGTTATTCTTCTCTATCTTTGTGGGAAAGTAACCATGGACAGCACATAATTGAATGTGACCAAGTTCCAATAAAACTTTATTTATAGACACCAGAATTTGAATTACATTTTTATATCTCATAAAACAGTTTCTTTTAAAAACAATTCTTAGCTTGTAGGTTGTTGATACACACACACACTCACCCCCAAAAAAAAACCAAACAAACAAACAAAAAAACCAGGTTGTAGGACAGGTATGGTGAACAAGAGTTCTGTGTTTTCCAGATTACTATACCTGCTTTCCTAGGGCCCCTCTGGTGGCTGATAGAATATTTTAAAAAATTGAGTAAGTCTTGAGATGGTTCTGGAGCATCATGATGTCTAGAGTTGAAAATCCACATGACTTTTACAGGTGTGGCTGGTGTGGCTGCCATCATTTTCAAATTGGGACTTCTAGACATGTTGGGAAAAGATGAAGCAGTATATTATCTTTTGTGTTCATGTCTTTTTACTATTTTAAGACATTTGCCTATGTATTTATATGTGTGTCCATGCTCCCATGCATAAGGAGGGTTGTGGAGGATGTCAGCTATTTTCCTCTATTGCTGTTCACCTTATAGCCTTGAGACAAGGTCTCTGACTGAATCTGAAGCTCACTATTTCACCTAAGCTGGCTTGCCTGCTGGGAATCCCGAGATCTTCCTCCCTCTCAGCTCTCAGTGTTGAGGTTACAGACACATGCCACCATACCCACCTCTTTTAACTCAATGAGCCATTTGTACAGCCTCAAGACATCATTTATATATGTGCTTTTTTTATGTACTGTTTACTTGGAGGAAGATATGAAATTCAGCATTAATCAACCATTGAAGTAACTGATAAAATAATTACATTAGAAAGAAACTATAAAGTCTTTCATGGATGATTTCCACTCAAAAAATAAGATTTTTAAAGTACATTCTTAAGTAAAAATGAGTATTTTTAAGAACTGGATTATATAAGGATGAAGAATATAGTAGTTGCTAGTATAGTTAAGTCTCTGGCAGGACATGCTTAGTATTAAATATTCTAGCAAGGTATGGATTTTATCTTACTTTATTCTTATTTGTTTTGAGACAGGGTTTCTCTTTATAGCCAAGGCTAGCTGTAAACTCTCTACCCCACTGTCCAAGCTAGTGTGCTGAGATTACACATATGTGTGCCCGCGTGCCTAGCTAGGGAATAAATTAAAAATTCTAAATTTATGAAGATTAACAATCAACTACAAGTTAAAATCCTCACTCAGTTATTTCTGCTTAGATAAAACATCTAGTGGTGTCTGGCTTTTTTGTTTTAATTTATTTTATGTGTGTGGATGTTTTTCCTAATATGTGTCTGTGTACCATGTGCATGCTTTGTACCAACAGAAAGGACATTGGATCCCTTGGGACTGAAGTTTCAGACACTTGTAAGCTGCTAATGGGTGCTGGGAATCAAATCAAACCCAGACACTGGATATGTAGGTACAGGCCTTTAATTCTAGCCCTTGGGAGGCAGAGGCAGGAAGATCTTTATGAGTTCAAGGCCAATCTGGTCTACATAGTGAGTTCCAGGACAGTCAGAGCTACATAGTCTCAAACAAACAAACAAAATATTTCAAAAACAAAATAAACCAATTCCTGATTCTCTAGAAGAGCAGCTATTGCTCCAGCACCATCCAGTGGCTTTTATAACCTGGTCAGCTGTATGCAAACATGAATTCTTGATGATATGACTACAGAGGAAGAAAAAAAATCTGTGTTAATTATATATATTTCTTAAGAAAAACCTTGCATTTTATTGCAAGGAAACTGAGACCTACAGAGAGTAAAATGGTGTGAATAAAAGTCAAAGTTAATGGTAAGGTAGTACAAACAACAACAAACCATACCCCCACCAAATAATTAGTAAAATCCTACTGTTTGTTTTTGAGACAATCTTACTGTGTATCCCAGATGGGTCTCAAACTCACTGCTTGGCCTGCTTGGACTGGAATTGTGATCCTTCTGTCTCCCAGATTCTAGGATTTTAAGTATGAACCATCACTCCTTCCCACCCTCCAAGGTGCTTTTCCCCACACTCCCCCCAGAATTCTATAGCCCTGACTGACCTGGAACTCATTTTGTAGACCAAGCTGGCCTTGAATTCAGAGATCTGCCTGCCTCTGCCTCCTGAGTACTGGGATTAAAAGTATGCACCATATCACCCAACTCCCCAGGAGCTTTTCAAATACTGTTTCATTCGATCTAAACCAAGTATAGCACTGTCATTTAAAACAAGAATGTATCATTAAAATTCTTGCCGGGTGGTAGTAGTGTCCTTTAATACCAGCACTCAGGAAGCAAACGTAGGCAGATCTCTGTGAATTTGAGGCCAGACTGGTCTACATAGTGAGTTTCAGGTCAGCCAGGGTTACACAGAAAAACCCTGTCTTGAAAAACGAAAAAGAAAAAAATTGGGGGTGGGTGGAGCTGGCAGATGCATCAATGTTGAAAGCACCTGCTGTTCTTGCAGAGGATTTAGCTTCTCTGTTCCTAGCACCCACAAAGTGACTTACAATCTTTTGTAACTGTAGTTCCAGGAGATCTGATGCCACCTGTGCATATGTGTAAATGCAGGCAAACACATCAAAAATGAAAATAATAAAGTATCTGAAATTTTAAATTAAGTTCAGGTTTTAGTGTTTTTATTTTTGTTATTGTTTATTTTATTTATTTATTTTTTTTTCTGGCGTGGTGATGGTGTGAGTGTGCACAGGAGTTGGTTTTCTCCTATCATGTGGGTCCCAGAGGTTGAGTTCATATCATTGGGCTTGGCAGCATGCACCTTTACTCACTAAGCCACCTTGCTTAATTCATATTATTTTATAGGTTCTGTGGCTTTGTGTGTGTGTGTGTGTGTGTGTGTGTGTGAGAGAGAGAGAGAGAGAGAGAGAGAGAGTATAGATACACACTATACCTTTTATTTAGAAAACTCTGTTCTCAGATAATTTTTGGGAAATGTAGAAGTACTGGAAAAGAATGTCACATAACTACATACCTGCAAAAATAAATATATGTATTTTTAAGTCACCTTTGTTGTTGTTGAAATATGGTTTGATCACATAGCTCAAGCTGGTCTGAAACTCAGTATATATAGTTAAGATAGGCATTGAATGCTCAGTAAGCCTTCTACTTGTGTGTTGTAATAATCAGATAGAATCACTGTGCCCAACCCTTTATAGGAGCTAATGACATGCATTTTGGTGTTCAAACTTTTTTCTTTCAGGATTGTTATTACTTTTTCATCAGTAGTTTATACACTTGAATTTCTAATTTCTTTTATTGACTTTTTTGGTTGTGGTGGTTTTTTCTTTTGTTTTTCCTTCCCTTTCATAGACCTTGAACCTGATGATTGTGCGTCCATTTACATCTTTAATGTAGATCCACCTCCATCTACCTTAAACTCATCACTTGGCTTACCACATCATGGACTGCTACAATCTCACTCTTCTGTTTTGTCACCATCGTTTCAGCTCCAAGGTCACAAAAATTATGAAGGAACTGGTGATGTTTCTGAATCTAAATATAGCCCATTAGGTGGTTCCAAACCCTTTGAGTGCCCAAGTATTCAAATTACATCCATCTCTCCTAACTGTCATCAAGGAACTGATGTACATGAAGATGACCTACAGATAAATGACCCAGAAAGGGAATATTTGGAAAGACCTTCTAGAGATCATCTCTATCTTCCACTTGAACCATCCTACCGAGAGTCTTCCTTTAGTCCTAGTCCTGCCAGCAGCATTTCTTCTAGGAGCTGGTTCTCAGATGCATCTTCTTGTGAATCTCTCTCACACATTTATGATGATGTGGACTCAGAGTTGAATGAAGCTGCTGCTCGATTTACTCTTGGCTCACCACTGACTTCTCCAGGTGGCTCTCCAGGAGGCTGTCCAGGAGAAGACTCCTGGCAGCAGCAGTATGGACCTGGACACTCCTTGTCACCTAGGCAATCTCCTTGCCACTCTCCTAGATCCAGTATCACTGATGAGAATTGGCTGAGTCCCAGACCAGCCTCAGGACCCTCATCAAGGCCCACTTCTCCTTGTGGTAAACGACGGCACTCCAGTGCTGAAGTATGCTATGCTGGCTCCCTTTCACCCCATCACTCACCTGTTCCATCCCCTGGCCACTCCCCTAGGGGAAGTATAACAGAAGATACCTGGCTTACTGCTTCTGTCCACACTGGATCAGGCATTGGCTCTGCACCTTTCCCATTTCAGTACTGTGTAGAGACTGATATCCCTTTGAAAACAAGGAAGACTTCTGAAGATCAGGCTACCATACTATCAGGAAAATTAGAGGTCTGTTCAGATGATCAAGGGAGTTTATCACCATCCCGGGAGACTTCAGTAGATGATGGCCTTGGATCTCCGTATCCTGTAAAGAAAGATTCATCTGGTGACCAATTTCTTTCAGTTCCTTCACCTTTTACCTGGAGCAAACCAAAGCCTGGCCACACCCCTATATTTCGGTGAGTTCATAGAAATGGCTGCTGATCGTTTTTTCATGCTTACAGATTATTTGCATTGTCTAACTACATTATCTGTATTTGAGTATCTCTCCCTCTTTTTCCCCTCCCCCTTTCCCTTCCTTCTTCTTCCTTCTCATTCAATTCTCCATGCCCTCATCTTCCTTGTTCTTTCTTTCTTTTTTTTTTTTAATCTACGAGCCAAAAACTTAGAAGTCCTTTTTAGTTCCATTTAAATCTTAAAAGTGTTTTTAAATTGACTAAAATTACATTTAAAAGTACATAAATGAAGAAAAATATAGGTGATGAATTGTAGATAATAGTAAACAACATTTAAAGATTCCTAAAAGGAATTTTCTTATATAGAAAAGGTTATTTGTACAGGTGGGTTATAGTATGAGTCATGTTACTAATAAATTAACAGGGAATTTTCCTATTATGAAGTATGTGCATGGGTGCATGTGTATGTGTTCATGTGGCATCCAGAAGACAGCTATGGGTGTGTTCCTCCAGAGTCACATCTTGTTTTTTTGAGACAGGTTTCTGATTGGCCTAGAGCTCACCAAACTTTTTTTTTTTTTTTTAAATATACATTGGTGTTTTTGCCTGCATGTATGTCTATGTGAGGGTGTTAAATCTTGGAGTTATAGGTAGTTAGTTGTTAGCTGTTCTGGAAGAGCAGTCAGTGCTCTCAACCACTGAGTTGTCTCTTCAGTCTCCTAGCTCGCCAAACTTAAAAAAAAAAAAATACCAACTTTATTGTTGTATGTATACACACTTGTGAAAGATGTGTATAAATGTGAGCATGTGTGTCATGCCCTGTATGTGGTGTTCGGAGAACAACTTTCTGGAGTTGCTTTGTTCCTTCCACTTTTATATGGGTTCTGGGGATTGAACTGAAGTTCTTAGCTTGCATAGCATGGTAAGCACTTTGCTGACTGAGTTCTCCTCTGGCTTTGTCTTATTGATGGCAAGCATTTTCCCCACAATTTATTTGCTTTTAAAAGCTTATTTCATTGAGGTAATGTATTGCTATATTGCCTGTGTTGACCATGCTGACCTAAAATGTCTGGTCCTACTACTACTACAGCCTCCCAAAGTAGCTGGCACTGTAGGTTCATGCTATTGTGCTTGGCCTTTGTAACTTTTTAACTTTCGACAGTCTTTCCTTCTTTGAGACTAGGTCTTATGTAGCTGAGAAGACTGGCTTTCAGTTCACTATATAACTGGCGATGACCTTGAAGTTCTGATCCTCCTGCCTTCAGCTCCAAAGTTCTAGGATAAAGGTGTATGTCTCTACATCTAGTTTTAAGTAGTGGTAGGATTCAAACTCAGGGTTTCTTGCATGCTGCAAGAACTCTACTAACTGAGCTTTGTGTCCATTACTACTTGATCTGTAGATATATAATTAATTTTCTAATTCAGTATTTGTGTGTATGTGTACATGTAGGTGCATGTGGAGACTGGAGTTGATATTGAATGTCTTCCTCATTCCTTTTTTGCTTCTCACATTGAACCTGGTTGGCTGGAAAGCCCCAGGGATCCTTCAGTCTCTGCCTCCCTAATGCTGGGATTACAGGCTTGGGCCACTGTGCTGGCTGTGTGTTCTGGGGACTTGAACTAAGGCCCTTATCATAGAATAGCAAGCACTCTTCTTACTGAACAGTCTCCCAAGCCTTTGTAACATTTTCAATATTAATATATCTAAATTAACCTTTAGGTCTTGATACTGTTTACATTCTTATTAATCCAGGGAAATAGTAACCTTTTAAAACATACTGCAGATGCTTCATTCTTGTTCTAGGCAATTATACACTGAAACTAAGTTTTTCCTCAAGTCACAGAGGATTGCCTAAGATAATAAGCAGTTTTCAGAAAGAAGAGTAAAATGAAAGGAAGTGAAGGAGGCTACAGGCATAATACATTGATTTCCACAGACACATAAAAAAGAATAGTCATTGGGGTGATACTGGCACACAATTTTAAGCATTCAGGAAGCAGAGGCAGGTGGATCTCAGCCTGGGATGGAAGTTGAGGTCAGCCTGGTCTACAGAGTGAGTTCCAGGACAGCCAGGACTACACAGAGAAACACTATGAAAAAAAAATTAAAGATGGTCTATTAAATATGTTAGTATTCAGGCATCTATACACAGGCCTGCACTTGTGATTCTGATAGTATATGCCCTCAGCTGCAACCACTAAGCACCACCCATTTCTCTCTCTCCTTCCTTCCCTCCCTTTCCCCTCCTTCTCTGCCTGTCTGTCTGTTCCCCCTTTTCTACTGCTCCCATCCTCAGAGGCCAGTCCCCCCCCCACACCCTTTTTTTTCTATTCCCTTCCTTCTAATAATAATAATAATAAAAAAAAACAATAAAAACAAACTCTGTCGAATGGTGTCTTTCTCTTTTGGGCGCCTCTTTTTAAATTACAACAAAATAGCTGGCATAATTGGTACTATAACTTATTAAGTGAAGGCAATTTTGGAATACTTTGTTTCTGAAACCAGTGGGAAAAAAATACTGTAACAAAGAGATGCTTGAATCTCTGCGTGGCAATGATAATATGGTGAAATTGTTTGTGTGTTTTGTTTATAGCACATCTTCGTTACCTCCGTTAGACTGGCCTTTACCAACTCACTTTGGACAATGTGAATTGAAAATAGAAATACAACCTAAAACCCATCATCGAGCCCATTATGAAACTGAAGGCAGCCGAGGGGCAGTGAAAGCCTCTACTGGTGGCCATCCTGTTGTTAAGGTATGAGACTCTGGAGTTTTGTTTCATAGATACCATACACATGGTAATGATTGGATGAGTTTGTTGATTTAGTGAAAAGAGAAAAAACTCAAATCCGAAGAGCCTCAGTTTTGTGTGCTTGTTGATATGGCTGTACTTGCACTGAATTTTCTTTCTCTAGAAGAAACCTTCCTGACAGACTTTTCATCTGGGGAAATAAGATGTGAATGGTCAAATTGCTGTGTTTCTGATTTTTTTTAAAAAGTATGTTATGTTGGGCAGTGGTGGCCAGCACTTGGGAGGTAGAGGCAAGCAAATCTCTGAGTTTGAGGCCAGCCTGTCTACAGAGTGAGTACTAGGACAGCCAGTATACCATGGTGGGGGCACATGGCAGAGGAAGATCCTCACCTCATAGATTCTAGGGGCTAAAGAGCACTGGCTGCTCTTTCAGAGAGCCTGGGTTCATTTACCAGCGTCCACAAGGCAGCTCACCATTGTCTGTAACTCCACTTCCTTTGGATTCATATATGTAGACAAAACACTAATTCACATAAAGTAAAAAGGAATAAATCACTTCTGCATATATGCAGACAAAACACCAATTCACGTAAAATAAAAAGAAATAAATCATTAAAAAGAAATGCTCCCAAACATGTTCCAGTAAACTAATTTTTTTTTTCAACTCACTCCCACTGTCTAAAGTTTCTGCCACTTCCTAATAGCACCACAGATTGAAAACCAAGGGTTTAACAAATAGGCCTTTGGAGGACACGTACATAAACCATAGCAGATAGAGTTATACCAAAAATTTTGTGATTATTTATTTATTTTCTTTTAACTAGAATAAAATTATGTAAAATTTGCTTATTTCGTATATTTCAAGTACATCTCATTTTAAAGCTTTTAATCGATTTTAAAAAAAAGATTTATTTAATCATTATGTATACAACATTCTGCTTCCATGTATACCTGCACACCAGAAGAGGGCACAAGATCTCATTATATAGCTGATAACTACCATGAAGTTACTGGGAACTGAACTCAGGATGTCTGGAAGAGCAGTCAGTGAGCCATCTGTCTAGCCCTGAATTGATTTTTAAAAAACTATTTATTATGTAGTGTTCTGCTTGCATGCATCCTTGCAGGCCATAAGAGGGCACCAGATCTCATTACAGATGGTTGTGAGTCACCATATGATTGCTGGGAATTGAACTCAAGATCTCTGAAAAAAGCAGCCAGTTCTCTTAACCTCTGAGCCATCTCTCCAGCACTGAATTGATATTTTTTATTTTGATTTCACTTGAATGGACTATAACATTAAAAAAAAAAAAGAAAGAAAGAAAGGAAGGAAGAAAGAAAAAAACCTTGGGGCTGGAAAGTTAGCTCAGTGGTTAACATTAAAAAGAAAAAGAAAGAAAGAAAAGGAAAAAAGAAACCTTGGGGCTGGAAAGTTGGCTCAGTGGTTAAGAACACTCGCTGTTCTTCCAGAGGACCTGGGTTCAATTCCCAGCACCCACATGGCAGGTCACTACTGTCTGTAACTCCATTTCCAGGGTACCCAACACCTTCATACAGAAATACATGCAGGCGAAACACCATTGCACATAAATAAAAAGTTAAAAGAAAATAGTTAACAAGGGTAGAGATTCAGGTCTTTAGTTCCAGCACTCGGATCACTGTGGATTCAAGGTCAGCCTGGGATACATCATGAGTTCTTAAGATAACATGGAATAAATAAATAAATAAATGAAACAACAACAAAAAAATCTTCAATAATCTTAATACCGATATCCATAGCTGTTAATGAACCCAAATTAGAAACAACTCAAGTAGATTAGTAGTTAAACAACCTCTAGTATATGTATAGGTTACTACCACCCATCTGTAAGAAGAAACAAATTGTTGACATGTGCAACAACTTTTGTGGTTCTCCATGGTGTTTTGGTGTATCATGGTTCTCTATGGAAGTGAGCTATTTGGGGGGGGGGGGACAAACAAAAACAAAAACAAAAAAAACCAAAAATCCTCACAGCTTTATTTATTTATATAGTTTCTCACATTAAGTAAACTTTAGAGACAGAACATATTTAGTAGTTACCAAGAAACAGAGTTTAAGTGTTATAAATATAAATGAAAAAGAGTTTAAGTGTAATAATTACTTAAATCTCTACCTGTGATAAAAATGCACACAACCAAACAAACATACAAGAATGCATATAAAATATGTGGGAACTGTGTGGGACTAAAGTCAGCAAATTAATTATACCAGTGCCAGTGGTATTTAATACAGCTCAGTGCTATAAGTGTGTGGTATAGTACATAAATGCATGCATGTGAACTCAAGGTGCTGACAATTTTTGTTACTTTCATTAAGGGAAAAAAAAAAAGCTTATACTGTAAAGCTTGATAGGCCTGGCATGCATAATGAGACCCTGTCTCAAAAGCAAAAATAAAGAGTATAGATTAAACAGTGGCAAGTCAGCCTTTTCTTTTCTCTTTTGTTACTGTGCTAGGGGCCAAACCCAGGGCCTCATACATGCTATGCAACTACTGTATGACTGAATTCTGTCCCTAGCCTGAGACAGAAATATTTAAATCATACCATAGAAATTAATGAAGTTTAAAAGACAAGGTTATTAAAAAAAATAAAGAAAAATAAAGTTTATAATTTTGTTGTAGTTAGACTTGTATTTTATCATTTGTCAGGATCCATTGTCTAGTGATTTGTTTGCTTTTTTGAGACTTTGTCTCATGTAGCTTAGGTTGAACTAAATGTCACTGTGTAGTTAAGGATGGCCTTGAAGTACTGATCTTCCCACCTGTGTTCCAAGCGCTAGGATAACAGGTGTATGCTACCATACCTGACTCTAGTGATGATTATTTTTATATGACACTGTTATATGTACATATTAACATTTATTTTTGTTTTTCACATTTTTACTTTTAAGTGATTTATATTATGGAATTTTAATTTTGTATTTTTAGTATCTCTACGATGCTTCTAATATGCTCATGTTTCTGATATAGTCAAATTCAGGGGCCCTCTCCAAGTAATTTGGCAGGATGGGTAATGGAACTGTTGTTATTAAAGTTGCTGTATTGCATCCTGCAGTGACCTTCAGGCTTTAACCTTCCAGCTTAAGTTAAATTAAGCAAGCAGACCTCTGCTATGGAAACAATATTGAAAATAACAAACATCAGCTTACTTCTTTTACACAGGGTAGGGTAGACTGAATAGAAGAGGACTGATAGTAGATGAAAGATTTTAGAGGATAATATTAGCAGCCTATAACAAATATTCCTTTTGAGATGGAATAACATAATAGTCTATTCTTTAAAATTCTATTTTTCTTATGTTCTATTATATATACTTAAGCAGATGTTGGCAGAAATATGTGTTAAGAAATTATATATGTGTGTTCCCTTTGAAATCATATATGTATGATTACCTTCCTACAGCAGTTCATTTTATCAAAGTGAAAAAGAGTTATCTAATATGACTAAGGATTCTTTGATATACAGTGCTTATCCACTTGTCATGTGATACCCTGTAATAGCATTCATACATAATAATTTTTAAATTTGTATTTTCAATTTTAGATTTAAGTTCAGTTTGGCCAAGTACTTAGTATTTATTGTTTAAATATTGTATTTACCAGTCTTGAGTTATTTTGTGTTACAAAATTGTCTCCCTTATTCCAAAATTTATTCATTCAACAATGCTTTAATGTGCTAGACTTGTGTATAGACTCTGGTGATAGAAAGGTGGATGTTATGTTTTTTTCAAGTATATTTTGAGGCAAGTGCTGAAGCTGTTGTTCCATCACTGGATGAACTATTAATTTCATACAACAATTTGAGCATGAAAGAGCAGTAGGTACAGCATTGAGTTTCAAACAGTTCCCAGTTATTTTTTATTTGTTTGTTTTTTTACTTTTGCAGTCTTCATCTGTAGACTGGAAAATAAAAATGACATACACTTTACAGGAGTTTTAGGATTAAATTGACTCAGTTAAAACAGAGTATATAACCATTCTCTCCCTTGACTTATTCATCTCTCTGTAAGTATAGATGAGGTAGAGGGTTGTTTTGTTTTGTGTATATGTGTGGCATTATCATTTAACACATCTGTTGTTACAGAATCAAGGGATTATCATTAAATATAATTTCTCCATGTGTACATATGTAAATGGGTGCCTTTCCAATTTCTTTTTTAGCTATATAGGCCTTTTTTTTTTTACTATGTTTATATTGACTGTTTTATGTTTTATTAACTAGTTCCCTTTCTATTAAATCTTCAATTTTATTAATCTGTTAATGACAAAACAATTTAAAGGAACTATAAATGAAAATATTGGTAGGTTTTTATTATTATTATTATGTAATTTTAAAGTATATACAGAAAGCTACAAATTCTGCTTGAGTATAGTAAATTGCACATTGTTTACCTTAGTTGAATGTAAGACAGCTGGTGAACCTTACCTTGGGGAGGAAAAAATGCATCTCATTTTTTGTTCCTTAAGAGCCGAAGGGAGCTGGGCGGTGGTGGTGCACACCTCTAATCCCAGCACTTGGGAGGCAGAGACAGTGGATCTCTGTCAGTTCGAGGTCAGCCTGGTCTACAGAACTAGTTCCAGGACAGCTAGGGCTATACAGAAAAGCCCTGTCTCAAAAAAAAAGAGAGAGAGAGAGAGAGCCCAATGTAATGTCAGGAATTTGAGGCACTATTGTCTCTGGAAGGAGGTATGTGAGATGAGGGTGAAAACAGTATAATTTGATAAAGGTCTATAAAAACAAGAGGTTTTTTTGGTGTGTGTGTGTGTGTGGTGTTGTTGTTAATGACCAATTGGTAACTTCTATCTTGTCATGCAGCAATGCCAATCATTTTAGTAGATGAGGTTAAAAATCTTCATTAAGACATGAATTAGAGTTCTGGGGGCAACATTGGTAGATCTACTGAAAATGCTAATTGAATGAGAGACATACTGAAAGTTTGCAGACTAAATAGTAAAACCTATGAT